AGTAGGAGTAGTAGGAGTAGTAGGAGTAGTAGTAGTAGTAGTAGTAGTAGTAGTAGTAGTAGTAGTAGCAGTAGTAGTAGTAGTAGGAGCAGCAGCAGCAGCAGGAGCAGTAGTAGTAGTAGTAGTAGTAGCAGCTGTTGTTGTTGTACATTGCCCCGGGAATTTAGAATCTTTTTGTTTGTTCCGGTCATCCTAGTAATCTTGGTGTCAGCTTGGTCATCTTCCTCGGCCATCTGTTCATGGGGGCAAGATATGTCATCTTGCAATCTTGGTCATCTTGCCCCACTTGCCCGCATAGTTTACCATTTAGGCCAAGATGACCACGATGACATGGTCATCTTAATCTTGACCCCCCCACGTCACGTGCAAGATTGCAAGACGACATGGTCACCTTGCATTCTTGAATGTTCTAAACTCTCGGCACACTGTAGTTGTAGTTGTTGTTGTTGTTGTTTTGGTGGTCGTAGTTGTTCTGGTACATGCAGGAGTAGTCGTCGTCGTAGTAGTAGCAGCAGTAGCGGCAGCAGCATCTCATCATCGCAGGGAGTCAACTAATGCCCGGGGAAGAGAGAAGATAGCGCATTGCATGTCACAAGAGTCCTGTGAGGCGCAAATCTGTTGCGCAACTGGGCTTGTGCGTGTGTTTCTACCATCCTAACATGCTCTTCTCGGCGGAAGGAGCTGCAGGCTTCGATCCGGGACGTGAAGGAGGAGAAAAAGACCACAGAAGCCTTCAGCAGCCAATTGGAGGGCAGGCGCTCCCGCATCGCATGGGAAGCGTATGTAGCGACGTAGCTTTGACTGTCCGCTTCCGGCCAGCAGGACCCATGGCACAGCTACAGCTTGAATTGTCGCGACTGCTTCTTTGCGATGTTGAGATATCAAATGCATTGAGAGAGAATCTCCGGTTGTAAATATCTCGCCTTGTAAGGCACCTTCAGAACATGTAGAACACGCAGAGCCACAGATTGAACTCTAGAGGCCAGCTGGAAGTTTCAGGCCCTGTCAACATAATTTTTTGAAATGTCTAGAAAGCCATCAATCAACTGCCGCACGTGGACTTGCACTCGATCCTTCCCAAACCCAAATCTTTGCAGGATACGGGGCATTGAAGAGAAAGCCCATGCGCCTTGGCTCTCGCCTAGTTCCGATGTGAGGTCACCGGCTTTCTTACTGGAAAGGCCAGGGGATCCCTTCAGGAGTCCTTGTCAAAAAGATGGAAGACACCCCGGACAGTCTTGGTGCTGCACGAGCTGCAGGAATACTTGTGAAAATGGGTGGGGATGAGCAGGCCAAGTTGAAATGGCAGAAGGAAGAACAGCACGAGTGGTCGGTGCAATCGGGAACGACGAGGTATTACCGAAACAGTAGTAAGAACCCATGCCTAGACTAAGTCGATGAGGTTTTGCAGTATTTATATCCCATGACTCACGGATGTGATCCTGAGGAGTCTGAAAAGAAGCTTCAGGAGCATGCGGCAGCTTGGCTCAACCATGGTACTATATAGATAGGTCTGGAGAGCTAATGGCAAGTCTTATGGGCTGCAAGATAGCTGTATAACTCACGAGTGCACCAAGCCCCTATTCTGAATCATGAAAGCCCCTGCGTCATTTCTCAAAGGTCTTCTGAGGCTTATTGCCTTCGGTAAGACGGGAGCGCAGTGGAAGCTCCCTCTGGGATGGGGCTTGAGACGTACTTTTGTAGGAGCTTTGATGGATTGAATAGGGTGTGTGGGGGTTATGTTTCACTATCATGATAATAATAGGGGCTAGTTTCTGGAGGCCCGGAGAATCGAGAGGGTTGTTTGGACACCTTGTCGGTATGGAGCTTATAGCAAACCTCTCGTAGAGTCGGTATGTCCCAATATGTCATGCGAGAATGCGGCTTCGGACTTATATTGCACACACCGTCGTTGAAAAGCTTGCATGGAACAGGTCTCGGAATTTGGCTGTCCCGCACCGATTGTTGTTGCAGTCGCGCTCGCAGGATCTGTTTGGTTTCTATTGCACCGCTCAGGGCGTTCCATGATGCCTTTGACGCTTGGGGTTCCTCTAACTTCTCGGTCCCTCAAGCTTTCTCTACCGGAGGAGAAGCACTTAGCAACGTCCTCTGCGGCATCAAACCTCAAAGGACGAGCCGAGGCAAGAGGAGCGATTGCAGGAGGGCTCATTGAGTGTCCGCTCCACTGGGTGATCGTTGTATCCGATGTGCAGTGTACAGCCAGGCCCGGTCCAGCATTCGATGCTCGAATCATATGTTCGCTGATGTGGAGGCAATGGAAAAAAGCCAGGAGGACATGAAAGACAGGCCGTGGTGCTTTATGCTTCTTCATCGGGACTTGTGGGCCAGTCTGCCCATTGACTTGCTCAGCGGTTGTCAAACTGTCCTCAATTTGCGGCAAAAGTGTAAACCTTGACTTTTGATGGACAGGTACGTACCCTTCCTTGCAAGCAAGCATTGTGAGGGGGAGCAAACGAAGTGAAATTTTGAGGGCCATCTAGTAAGGGTTCTATACTGTCTTGCAAAGATCTTATACGGGCTCCAATCACAAAACACCCAGCAAAGCAGAGAAGAAGCAGTATTCGGGTTTCGGAGCAGACCTGGGAGAAAGAAAAGGCTCACACATCTTGGAGTCTTAATATTATCGTATATTGTAGGATGTTTTAGGATATTATAGGATATAGCTATATTGCATAAGCAGTCGTATCGTGGGGGGAGAACTCTGCAGGTTGAATAAGGCTGACATAGCGATCACAGACTACCGGGTCCTGGCGGCTGAGAACAAGCAGAGACTCGGCGATTTCAGTGACCCGGGCCCTCCTTCCTTAGACGATCTAGTTTCTGAACATCAATTAATCTCCCCCTGCATGCCCGATCGCGGTGATTTGTGCTGTATTGCTTGGTGTGGGAAATAAGAGGATCTGCCACCCCGTTCCAAGAACATCTCAAAAGGCTTCTGCTGGCGATGGGATGACGCTTGAAGAAGGTTGCTAGTTAACCGGGGGCTGACACGAAGCCGGAGCGAAAGCCTTGAGCCCAAAGGAACATCGCAAAGCTGCTGGAGGTGGTCTCGAGTCCTGCTGCTGGTCTGCCGGAAAGTTCTGAATTAGGTTTAGTGCTTCGAGTCGCGAATTGGATGATGGCGGATGCAAAGGAGATCGGAGTCGGCACAGTGAGGAAGCAGGAAATCAAGAGTGTCCCTTGGGAACCGCCCGATTGTGTGCAGCGAGGGAAGGGTCACTTGCCGAAATAACTCCTTGGAATTTTGGATCACTGCCACTCCACGGCCGAACTAGGCAACTCCAGCCTGTGAGTCTCTTAAAGCACCTTGGGCCGCGACCCTTAGGATCGTGCAGATTGCCAGTTGCCCATAAAGTCTCAAGGATGTGCTGGTCAACATGGAGTCTTCCATCCTCGATGTGACGAAAATCAGCCAGCAGAACTCCAAGGTGTCCTTTGGGCTGTTGGGTGGTTTCAGATATGAGTCTGTGCTTGTGTTCAGGCTTTTCTGTAGATGAGCATTGGCTGAAGGGCTGTGCTGTAGAGTTTGGCATTCCTGGGACAACTTGTTTGGACATTAAAATCCCTGTGCATGATGTTCTGATTTGCGGCGCGCACACAGTGCAGATCCCCTCGGTTAAAAGAGAAATGAAGGACACATCAGCTAATCAGCTGCTTACTGGGCCTTGCTGCCTGATCACTGCTCGAATCGTAAGAAAGGTGACGGTGTAAGCTTGCACTGGGCCTCACATGGCCTCACCAACACAGTCCCTGCTGCAAAGGCCCTCGCCACGCTGACAGCTCAATGCCATGAGCTGTCCCAGCAAGAGCTGGAGGCCTGGCCTCTTCTGGAAGTTGCACGGTCTGGGTATCCAGTACGAGCTGCCGTTTAACAAGCAGCGCGGAAGGACTAGACGAGCAAGAACAAGAGGCAACTGCAAGGTAGCAAGGTTAATACACCGGCGACCATCATCACGATGACAGACAGACAGCAGACACACATCAAACAGTTCTGTAGTAGGAAGCGCAGAAGCAGCAGAATACTTACTGTTGGGCAAGAGCGGAATGATGTCAGTGGTACCACTAGCAAGAGCTGATATCCATGACGACACTGCGGCAGCACCACAAGCAATACAACAACAAAAGCAGCAAGGACGATAACAAAGTCTACGACAGCAGCAACAGCAGCAAAGCAACAACATCACGAGAGCCAGCAATTACAACGCACGGTACTTCGGTACCGCATCTGAAACAAGTTGCGCTTCGGGTATGCCGAAGTATAAAAGTCAAGAGTATGATGACACTATAAAGATGCATTTCGCAATCGTACCCAGTCCATTGGGGTCGCGAGGTGTGCATGTGCTTGGAACTTGCTTGGCCCTGACTCTGAACTGAAGCTTGTACTGACACACACACACACATTGCCCCGGTGAGTGGTGCAGAACATGCTTGTGTCTCATCCAAGGTGCTAGCGTGATGTGTGCTAATAGCTTGAACAAGTGTTAATTACCACATGTAAACAGCATGACAGCCGCAGATCCAACGTCCAGCACTAGCGACCAGCAGCATCAGCAGCAGCAACACCAATAGCTTTGCCATAACGAACATACCATTACCATCACGGCTGTCATTGCGAAGACCGTTGTCATGGGTGTCATCAACATCACCTCATCCATTGTCGGTGTCGCCGCCTGCGCCGTCGTCATTACCATCTGCACTGTCTCTACCATTAGCAGACTACATGTAGACGGCTGCTTGACTCAGCGGCCGAAACAGATCAAACGGGCTTTGGCGACATGACCATTCCTGTTTGCAGGCGCAAAAGAACACGGAGCCGCTTGCCGAAGCCCAGCGGTTGGCGATGTTTGTGTGTGCGTGTGTGCGCGCATGTGCGTGTGGCCATAGCCTGCGAGTAATACCAACCAGCCACGAACAGAAGGCTTAGAATCAGCAATGTATAGCATCCGCGCAAGCTGGAAAGCATGGAGGTGAACGCTGACTGTGACTGTGAAAGCTTTGCAGGCTTTCCGGGACCGTACGCGGTAGAGGAGGGCGAACAAGACTCGCGAGGGTCGGCGGCTATGATAACCAAGTTTGTAGTCATCCCAGCCACGATATTTCGTATCGCTGTTTATAGTCATTTTATCCACATAAGGGTGTCTTAGTATTAGGGGTCCCTTGTTCATGTCTGGTGACCCTTATACCCAGGATTCTATTCTTTGAAGGTGTATCCAGATTCACTTACAATGGGTTTCTTTTAGTTATCCACCAGACCAGAACACTAATTGACTGGAGGCCGAAGCTAAAAAATGGAGACTACCTGCATGCCTCGGACACTAAACTCTAACCCCATAGACCCCTAAGCGGATCGCCCGAGAGCCTCGCCAAAATGACCCTGTCCGAGTTGCAAGTCCAACCCTAACCTCAAGCCCCAAAGCCTTGACGCACCAATAACCTCACCTAGTTTGTCCCAGCGTGAGCGACGGAACCCCTGAACCCTAGCATCTACATGATGATGGTGATGAGGTGGGAGACAAAAAATGTTGTTGTTGTTGTTGTTGGTTGTTGGTTGTTTGTTGTTTGTTGTTTGTTGGTTGTTGGTTGTTGGTTGTTGGTTGTTGGTTGTTGGTTGTTGGTTGTTGGTTGTTGGTTGTTGTTGTTGTTTGTTGTTTGGTTGTTTGTTTGTTTGTTTGTTTGTTTGTTTGTTTGTTTGTTTGTTGTTGTTGTTGTCGTTGTTGTTGTCGTTGCTGTTNNTGTTGGTTGTTGGTTGTTGTTTGTTGTTTGTTGTTTGTTGGTTGTTGGTTGTTGGTTGTTGGTTGTTGGTGGTTGTTGTTGTTGTTGCTGTTGTTGTTGTTGTTGTTGTTGTGAGTTCGTGTGTTTTCTGCGGGGCTGGTGCGGGTCCGGATCTGGATGCACTCGCTGTACTCTCGGTCTGTCGTTTACTAACATATTATTCTAGGATTCTAGGGGTTTGGGCTGGCGTGGACGCGTCGTGAATTCTTGTCTGCCTCTTCCGAGCGCACACGTCGAAACCCCAATTCCGCAAAGCCCTTGTCGTTTTTGGTGAAGCGACCTCGTATGGCAGTATTCGAGTTTTGAGAGCGTGAAGCCCTTTTCCTACATCGCAACCTCCAAATCCTAAACCCCTCAGGCACACACATGCCGATGAAAAGAATCCCGAACTCCTAGATCCTGAGCCCAAGGCACCTTGGTGAGCAGCTGGTTCTTCTGGGCAAACGAGCTGGGCGGATGGAAACTGTTCTGGGCTTGGACGAGATGGGCAAGGATGGGGCCTGCTTAGTGTTTTGGAGTTGTGTTTCGGGGTTGGAGCTGCCTCATTATAGTATTACCAGTGCTAGTATGATGATTCGTGTCTCCAGATTCAGTTCTACTTCGTGTAGTGCTGTATTTCTTGCTCGTACTGCTATTTCTACTATTGCGCTGTAGCCATTAACCATGCATTCGTTTCTGCGTCCAAGGGGCTTTTAGACAGAGCCTTGCACCCTGATCTCGTCGCACACGCCCACATGCTTATACAACTCATTTCCATGAAATTTCTATGAATTCGCGGAGATGTCAAAGTACTCCCATCGACCTCCGCAGGACGACGAAGATGCCAAGACTGGCGTGGTTTTCAAGAGCGGGATCCTCCTAACAGAGCAGCTGCCAGGTTGCAACTACCGGATAACAGGGGCTCAGGCCCTCGAGCATGGGGCCTAAACTCGTGCTCATGACCAGAACCGCCTACATACAAACCCTATACACCCTATAAGTTTGTTTGACCGCTCTAAGCTCGCAGCATCGAAGCCTGCCCTTATGTTCGTGCAGAGCTGGGCTAAGACAGCTGTACTGTACAATCTTCAGTCTCCCAAGGGCCTGCAGGGACGCGACAACCTAAACCCAACTTGGCAACACTACGACTTTCTGTGAATCATCGTGGTTCGTCTACGAAACTAGCACAGCATATCCGCGGTGTCAGTACCCGGGCCGGGATCGAGACGTCAGCCCTGCATCGTGCATCATTGTGCCTGACGCGGCTTCGCGGCTCGAACATGCCGTTAGCTGGCTCTCAAGGCAGCGCTGCATGGTGCCCCGCTTCTTCCAGGCAAGTAGCGCGACCCTCATGCGCCAGATCTTGGTTGGTGTATGCCTCGCAGCCTTTGCGCTGCCATCTGCCTGTGATGAAGTGGCGCGGAGTTCAGACAACCCGTGCAAAGGGCCAGACTGTGTTGCGAGTACAAAAAAGTCCTTCAGACAGCCAGCTCCGGATGGAAAGTCACACTCGCAGATCCTCACTAATTCAAAAAGTTGTGTACGGTATGGATGCGAGGATGAGTATGTAAGGTGGCGGGACTGTCAGTGCAACAGAGACTGCTTCAAGAATCAGAACTGCTGTTACGATTACGAGCAGCAGTGCAAGGGTGCGAAGAGTGCGGATGCACCGGTTTTGGGAGCATTGCCCAAGGCTTTGGCGATCAACAAGACCACATCTCTCCGTGGAGCAACGACAGCCAAGTGGGGCAGCTGTGGTGAGTTCACCTGTGCAGAGACTTACGTCAGTTGGCGGCCTTGTCAGTGCAACAGCCTTTGCAAGGACTACGGCAACTGCTGCTCGGACTACCAAGCAGTGTGTTTGTCCCCGCCCGCACCTGCAATTCCAGGGCCAGCTCCGCAACCACCTGCTGTGACGCCGGATTTGCCGGACACTAGCGGGCCGTCCGCACCCATTGCATCTGTGCCTGTGGAGACGACACCACCGGCTCCAGCCAACGTGTATGCCGTGAACGTGACTGCCCTGCCTTGGACATGGAAGGATGGGCTGAATTCTCCTAGTGAGTCCCCTTTGCTGACTTTCTACATGTACCGTGCAGTGTCGGACGAAGTGTACCCTCCTTTGAACACCAACCTAGGCAGCCTGCCGGGCGTCTTGTGGTACCTCCACCACGAGGTCGTGATTCAAGCACCCCGCAAGTTCCAAATTTCGCGAATTCTGCGCTACAAGGTGCAGATGCGTGCAACTGCACCACTTCTGCGGCTTGGGATGCACTTCGGAGTGCGCCTGGCCTATGACAAGGGGCAGGCCACCGGCCCCTTTGTTTGCGGGCGCACAAATGTCACGAACAAGGACGGAACAACAGAAGGTTACAAGCCAAAGTTCTGTGGCGATGGTGCTTTCAAGGCTCAGTATCTTCCAGATCTCAAGCCTTATAAGAACGAGTATGAGTATTCCGCCTATGGGTATAACGTCGGCTGCAACAAGCTGGGGGAGTATCCCTTCCCCATGCACCCGGTGTACTATCCGAATGCCATCTGGTACACCCTGCCTGGTGCCTGCCCGAACAATCTCTACTACAACAAGGACAACTCCTGCCAGGCTAGTCAGCCAGGAGGCTACTGCCCAAACATGGAGCCGAACGGAAACGGCACGTGCACCTGGAACTACGAGGATGCCGGTGAGATCTCCCTCGATGAGCTAGTGGGCATCAAAGACTATGCGTCGTGGATGCATAGCCACCGGGAGTATGATCCGGAAACCGATGAAGGTGTCAAGTTCGGCTGGTGGAACGGAATCAACAGTACCACTGCCAACCAGGAGCGTGTGCGACAGGCTGCCGAGCTTTTTGACAGGAGGTATCCATACATGCCAACAGTTGCCGAGCTTACCAATCCTCCCTGCGACTTTAATTTCGGCTACTTCTACAAGGAGTGGTACCGCAAGGACGGCTACAGCGGACCGTGTGGACCTCCTAATGCCCATTGCAAAGGTGGCATTTGGTGGATTCGCCACGAAGGCCTCAGACTGCATCCGAAGTGGTACGTACCCCTCACCACCTCTGCTAGCGACGATGACATCCAGCGCCTGCTGTATCAGCTAGGCGAGAATGAGTGCCTTCGTCCCTGTAATTGGGGTGAGACGCCTACGGCAGCCACGCCCAGCAAGGAAACTCCGTGACCTTCCCTCGCGGAGTCTCTTGGGCAAATCCAGATTTTGTAGGATCTGTTTTTCCGACGTTATCAGTGCGAACATCCCTCAACATTAGAGGCTTCGCCTTGCATACGCAATATCCGAGACAGGCATGCAGCAGCATGCAAGAGTCAGAGTTAATTCAGAGAGTTCGGGGGCTTTGTTGAATGTATATATAATCATCAGGCCATGCATGTCCTGACCTCAGCTGATGGATCAATCGAGCTCTCGCTTTCCATTCACTGCAGTTATGCTAGCCGTGCAAAAGGCACGCTTGGCCCGGATTTTGGCTGTGTTTATTGCAATCTTTAGGAATAATGGCTGTTGTATTTTGAGTTGCACCGAGATCCGTGGCATCTGCGAATTCGTCTCTGCCGCGGTTTAGATCCGACGCTGGGATCCACCGGCCGACTGATCCCCTGTTATACTCAATTTCTCATAAGGAGGAATGTGAGAATCATGGCGAGGCTTGAGCTCAAGCTCATGAATTCAATTTTCTTCAGCCTCAATAGGAACTCTAATGCCCTTTGATGCCCTGGCTGAATCCCCGGATTATCCCAGCTTCAGCTCGGATATGTGAATTTCGTCGCAGCGTGCTCCTCAGAAATCTCACAAGTCCCGGCCCACCGACAGGTAGCACTGTAGCTGCATCCCGAGACTGGACGGAAAGCGACTGATTGTCGGATCCAGACTCAGAGTGCAGCCGATGAAAGCTTTTGCCCGGCTGCCTAGCACAGCCTAGCTGCTGGAAGCTGGTGCCGGGAAATTGAGACGCATGAGCACGAGATTAAAAAAGCCCACGGCCGGACTAGTTGCCTTGAAGCAGCACCGAGGGAAGATAGCAAGCAAGGAGAGAAGAAGGATCCGGTGGATATGTGTGTTTATACGTTCTTTTCCTTCCAATGCATTGTGAATGATGTCAGCGTTTGCCGGATATATTTTCTGCATGGTCAGCACCGTCATGAGCCGTGACAGCTCTGAGCAGCAGTTGCAACGTGCTGCATCCACCATCGCTATCTCTCACGTTATTGATTCTCTACCTCATGTATTGGTTCCCATCTCCAGTAGCATCGCCTCCATCATCAACAGCAATCGTCGCCGTCAGCCGCAATCCTAAACCCAAGTGGGATAGGGGTTAAAAAAATTTAAATCAGGATAAAAAAATTAAATCAGGATCAAAAA